TCCGTTGTCCAACAAAGGGGATTCCGTGTACAGATGTCAAACTCTACAATTAAAATATATTGTATACGGAGTAATGTCAGATTTCACCGCTATAACGGGAACTCAGCGCTTTTCCAGACCCCATAATTTCACTATGAGACTCCATAGTCACTGAGAAGTTTTTCGGCCTTGAGCTGTAATCGAACGCGAGCAGTCTTCCCGGCATCGTCCGTGGAGCCAACACGACCTTCCTGCAATGTTGCTTGCCCGATCGCGATCAGTAGTTTGATCCACTGTTTGCCGAACATGGTCAGTCCGGCGGAAGCGACAACTTCCAATGATGAGTGCATAAGCTGAGCGCAAAAAGAAATTAGTCAGTCGGTCGAACATGGCCGTGGACAGGACAGGGACGGGAGACTGACATATGGAGCCATGGTTTGCCTCAGTAGCCGGGGATCCCCTACAATACGTGCGAAAAAGCTCCATATCTTGGTCGGTCTGAATGTGACGGGTAGCATGCTTGTTGCTTTTGAAGATGTGGTAATTGCAAAATAAAGTGACAGCACGCCTCCGATGCGTGTTTGTCTGTCTGTGGGGATCTCATCCTCCCGAAAGGCAGCCATCTTACGAAAAGCGGCTTCATTCTGGCCTGGTTGTCTGGTTACGCAATGGCCGATCAACCAGCCACCTGTGCGCATGACCATCTTTGCCCACAACACTTCCTCAAACCCTGGAAGATTGAACAGATTGATGACGACAGCAGCCAGTGGAGCTGCGGTATCTAATTTTGCAGTCACTTCTGTTTCTGCCTGCAATATGATCACTTTGGCGAGGGCAGAGAGCGCGGAGGGGTAAAGGTCTGAATTTGGGTCTAATGCGCGAAGGGTTTCGAAAATCTGCGTAGACTGGGCAGCAGCATCAGTCTCAAGAGCTCCTTCGATGGGGACTACCTACTATTCGGGTGATCTCCTCCTCGCTATCAGTCAACTGGCCAATTCTCAATGTTATACCTCGGCGTATTCCGTTCCACTGGCGCCGTAGGACTGAATCGTCTTTGATTCTCTTCAGATGGCCACCCTTGATATTCTACAGACGTGTCAGAGTTATCTCCAAAGGTTTAATCGATCAGTACCTGGTTAGTGGTCATCGCAGCTTCCCAGTCCTCCTTGGACGTTGTTATTCCCGCCGCTTTGCGTTCTTTGTCGAATTTCAAGAGCTGATCCTTTTCTTGTTTTTGCTTTTCTTCAGCTTGTATTCGCTCTCGTTCTTCTGCCTCTCTCTGTTTCTTTTCTTCCTCGGCTACTTTGAGTTTTTCTGCCGCAATCCTTCGCTTTTCCGCTTCGATCCTTTCTTGTTTCTCGCGTTCGGCCTGTTCTCTTCTGTTCTTTTCTTCCTGTATTTGCTGCGCTTTAGCCTCTGCAGCCTTTCTTTCGGCCTCTAGCCGCGCCTCAACAAGGGCGGCAGCCTGATCGACTTGCTCCCATAGTCTTTTGTTACGCTCCTCCCATTTTTCTCGCTCATCTCTTTCTCGCATTTCTCGTTCATTGAGCCTTTCCTCAATAAGTTTGGCGAAACGCGCATTCTGCTGCTGAGCCATTAATTCTAGGCCAGACTCTCCCACTTTTGCGGTGGACATATAGGTGCTCATCGCCCTCGTTTGGGAATGCTTCATTCGAGCCTGTGCGGCTTTCTAAATGGTATGTCAGGAAGACGGCAAGCGCAATGCAATAGAGACGCACGAATGCCTCCTTTTGGTTCCGCTTCTTCCATTCTTCTAGTGGGTCCTGATAGCTTGCATGTAGCCGGATAGATGCCATAGCCTCGGTTAGCTCGCGTTGTTCCGATGCCGTCTTGATTGCGGCATTCTTTGGCCTAACAAAACTCGTTATTACATTCATTGAGCACGGATATCGTGCTAGTACCTTGTTTTAGTCGGAATTTCTGATTCTGACGCGTAACAAAACGAATCTTCAGAGTCTGAGCTTTCCACCACGGCTTCTTCGAACTCATCACTAGAAGAGCCTTCCGAGTCAGTCGGAACCTTGTACGTATTGTAACGAGATCGTGCTCGATCTAAAAATCCTGGCCGTTCGGCCTTGACTCCAAAACGCATGGTGGCGAGCAGGTGCAAGTTTCAACAAGACCACCTCTGACCTTTTCCGCGATTCAGTACGCGTTAAACGGCTTTTCAAAGTCTTTTACTACTTTAGACTATAAATAGTCAGGTCGTCAACCCCAAGTTCTATTTCAAGCGGCGCTTCTAAGAGATTGGCGCCCACCGTCGAAAGGCTGTTGTCCATCCAGTCATCCTTGTCGAGTCAGCTTCTCCGGAGCTTAAGAAGCACCTCGACGCGACTACTGTCCTCAATGGCGGAATCTTCCCAGCTCATTGAGCGGCTTTATACGCTCTCCAAAACCAACAAGAAACTAGTCAAAGCATCCGATTACAATGCTCCCGCGGACAAGAACATTGTAGTTACCAGCTGGAAGATGGACGAGTTTAAGTATTACAACGTTCCAAGCCCGTTTCCGACACTGGCTCGTGGTCTCTTCACCACTACCAACGGCAACGAGACAGAAGGTTCAGATGTCCGATATCGTGTCGTAGCTCGAGGATATGACAAATTCTTCAATATCGGAGAGGTTCCCTGGACTAATGTACGTCACATACACCCGAACCTTCGTCAATCTGATTCATCTGCAGTGGAGAGCAATCGAAAGGCACACAACACCGCCATATACATTGACCCTAAAATCCAATGGGTGCATCATCTTCATCGCAGCTTTGTCACCAGATAAGATCTTGGTCACATCAAAGCATTCCATTGGCAATGTCGCAGGAGCTATTGAAAGTCATGCGCAAGTGGGCGAGCGCTGGCTCGGGAACCATCTTCGCTCGGTTGGTAAGACCAAGGAACAGCTGGCTGCGACCCTCTGGGAGAAGAACTGGACTGCTGTGGCGGAACTTTGCGATGACTCCTTCGAAGAGCATGTTCTGGCTACTGCAAAGGAAATGACTGGTCTCCACCTCCATGGCCTCAATGTCAATGTTGGGCAATTCAACACTCAACCCCAGCCAGTGGTGGATGCATTTGCAGAGGAATGGGGTTTTATCAAGACGGCCTCTATCGTCCTCAATACCGAGAGAGAGGTGCGAGAGTTCTCCCAGGAGATCGGAAAGATAGGGAAGTGGAATGGAGAGGCCGTGGAAGGATTTGTCGTAAGGACAACCATTGGGCCTCGTCCGACAAACGAACAAAGCGACACCCCTCCTTATCCACCCGGATCATCATTCTTCTTCAAAATCAAGTTTGACGAGCCTTATATGATGTATCGGGATTGGCGAGAACTTACCAAATCGCTCCTCACAGCATACTCGAAAGGAAATATGAAAGATGCCAGGATCTCGAAGGCAAAGCTGAAGCGAAAAGAAACTGTTGTCTACAAGCAATGGGTGGAAAAGGAGATCAAAACGAACCCCCGAGCATTCGATTCTTATAGCAAAAATATTGGGATCATTGCCGTCCGTGACCGCTTCCTCGAATGGCTCACGACTCCAGAGGGTCGTATGGCTGGCTTAAGCATAGCAGAGGAGGTTTCGCAGACAGCAAGTGTAAGCCACAAAGGCGAAAAAGTAGTTCTTGTACCTATTGCAGTTCCTGGTTGCGGTATGTACTCAGACAGTGGAGGGCCACTTTACTTACATACATCAGGCAAAACGACAATCTCAGTGGCTTTGGTGCATCTGTTTGGGTTTGGACATACCCAAAGTGATAACATCAAGGGCAAAAAACCCGCCCCTGTATTTCAAAGTAACATTGCAGATCTCCTTAAGACCCACGATGTAGTCATTGCCGACCGAAATAACCACCAAATTAGGCATCGAGAGGGAATAAAAGAAGCTATTGCTTCAATGCAGCCAACGCCTCGACTCATTGCTCTCAACTGGTCCATCAACGCGGAAGCCCCAGCGACTGTGCACAGGATCGTGACGGAGCGCATCAACTCGAGAGGTGACAACCATCAAAGCCTTGTTCCTCATCCCGATGCCGATCACGAACACGTTGTGTGGCGTTTCTTGAAAGAAGCAGAACCCCTGGCCGAGGACGAGGTAGATGATGTTATCGAAATGGAAGTGGCTGAAGAATTGGAGGAATCTCTCGCACGGGCAGTTGCTGGCGTCGTTGACCTTCTGGGGTTGAAGCGGCCCTCAGACGAGCAGATGGGTGAGGCCCTTCGTATAGCTCGTGAATACGAGCCTGCCTTCCGCGCTAGGGCCAAGCAGCAGCCAGCCGAGGGGTCCAAGAAAGAGAAGAAAAAGGCGTCTCCTCGATACTACGCTATACTACCCGAGTTGGATTTGGACAATGTCATTGGTGCAGTGATGAACTCGAACACACCCGTGCCAGATACAGCACGTACCTTCTGGAACAAACTCAAGGTCACGTCCCGCTATGCGACTAGACCGCACATCACCATCGTCCACAGCAAGGAACGAGAAAACGAAGGGAAATTGTGGGATTCTTGCGAACGGCTCACCGCAGGAAAGTCCCCCTTGTTTGAGTTCTCGTTGACACACCTTGTTTGGAACGAGGACGTCATGGCGCTTGCCGTGGGGGATTTGAGGCTTGTTGCTGAAACCGGAGGATCGGACGAAGGGGAGCAGTTTTTGGAATCATTGAACGACCAATTCAGGGACCGACTGCACATCACAGTAGGAACGCGCGAGCCAAGCGTGCCGCCCGTGCAGGCCAAAGAACTGACTCAAAAATGGCGAGCGGGGGCTGGAGTAGACGCGATTCCTTTGGAAGGCGTTGTGGCTAAAGGTGTAATCAAGGGCCTGGTCTCATAAGGATCAAATATGTCTACTATTCTGTCGCCGTTAATATCTTGAAATTCACCGCTCTTTCAGTTCTAGTAATCATATAAGCGCTAAGAGTAAGACGCAAGAGTCAATTGACATCACAGGAAGCATTTTAAAACGGTATTATAAGTATAGGAGAACATCAGTCCTAGAAAACCCACCTATAGCTCAGTTGGTAGAGCGTGCGGCTGTAATTGTTCGATTGTCCACCGCAAGGTCACCGGCTCGAATCCGGTTGGGTGGAATATTTTTGTTTTGCTGCTCGAGTTACCTTTAAACCTGTCGGTGCCTTTATCTGCCACACCCCTCACATGCCAAGGGTCGGTCCGGGCGCCATTATATATTAGATGCAAGCCTGGTGCATAAGTTCTCTTACGGCTCGTTGAACGCAAGATAATGCTGCGATGTCTCTTTCTCACTCTATAAACACCAGTCTTGCGTTTGCGCTACCAACTGAGCTCCCGAATGCTTGTCCACAGAACTTGGTGTAGTCCTGCAGAGACTCTCATGCTGTGATAACCGTAAGTCTATTTTTAATTATAATTTAGGCACTCTTACCTTCGAGGAAGTCGGCCGCCATGAGTCTTTAGGTTCTGGTCAGAGGTCATAACGAGTAACAACTGAGCGACGCACAATTCCAGAGCAATATCGGGAGGAATGCGTTCTTGAAAGTCTGGAATCTCCTCGCGAGGCCCAGCTTTTGCATACAGGTTCTTGTGAGCCAGATATTCCATCACTTTCTCCACTATAATAGCCCTAGGGAGAGGTGAGTAAATCCCCGTACAGAAGTTAAATATCATACCTATCATCTACTTCACACGTATTTTGCGTCCCTTCAAGGAATCCCGCCTCTGGATTGAAGCTATTTCGCAGAAAACCGCTTCCCATTGCCACATCGCGTGGGACGATAAATGAGTGACCGTCGCGTTTTGAGATGATTTTGACCCAATCGGATTGTTTTGCTTGTTCTGAATCTTCCGCCATTGGGTTTGTTGCGTTCGGGTGTAAGTGGGGTACAAAGCAAAGCAAGTTCAATGCCACCCACTTTCGGCTTGGTACCTGGACGCAATCGGGGACGTGGAGGATTTCGAGGAGGCCAACGTGGATGGACTAGAGGCTCCTACCGAGGTAGAGGTCGCGGTAGAGGAGGTGCACAAGCCGGCCCAGCACCAGCCAGAGGCGACGATGGCACCCAACTTGAAGAAAGATTCGAGAATGTCCGCATCTATGACGAAATCGACGCCAAACTTGGATTTTCACGCGTTGAAGAAGGCACGCAGCGGGACGGTTGGTTAGTCAATATGCATCCAGTGGGTGTCACGCGACTATAACGATACTCGACACTTAACCAACTCAGACAGTTGTCAAAACCGAAGAATGGGCGACAGGAAAGGCTGCGGTAGACTATTATTTTATTCAGGACGATGGCGGCATGTTTAAATGTACAATGGCATACGAGCCCTACTTTCAAATCGCTTGCAAGGTTCGTACATGTGGCTTATCATTGGATTTGATCTAAACTATGTGACAGACTGGCATTGAAAACACTATCGAGGAATGGTTGATGAAGAAGTATGAGGGAACACTATTGAGGATAGAAAGAGTGAGAAAAGAAGACTTGAAAATGGTTTGTGTGGGCTCTTCATCTCCCCGGACACGTCTGATACATCGTAGCCCAACCATCTGCTTGGTCATCCTCGACTCTACTTGAAGCTACTCTTTCGCAACGTGACCGATTTGCTCACTGTCAGGCGGGATATCGTGCCTCTGGCTCTTGCAAACAGTGCCAAAATGAATGCCGTCGACGCCTACGCCGAAGTGGTCAACGCCGAGGCAGCGGCAGCGTCAATGAAGATAATGCTCGATGGGGATGAAGCTCCTACGACCGCATGGAGTATGGACGTTGACGGCACCACTGCGACGAAAAAGGGTGCTGGGGATCGTGATCCACGTGAAGGTATCATCGATGTCCGTGAATTCGACGTGCCGTATTATCTGCGAGTAGCCATTGACAAAGGTGTGTCGTAATTACGAGTTAAACTTCCGTGTCCAACCTTCTTAAAGATATCCGGGTTGGGCTGTGGTACTCCGTCACGATGAATACCGGACAACCCACGTTGACTCGGATTACAGACCGTGTCAAGCGTGCCGAACCTGTCGTAATGGCCTACGATATAGAAACCACAAAGGCCCCTCTGAAATTTCCAGACCAAGCCGTCGATCAGGTCATGATGATTTCTTACATGATTGATGCCCAGGGTTACCTTATCATAAATCGTGACATTGTTTCCGAGGATATCGACGACTTCGAGTATACTCCCAAAGAAGGTTACGAAGGGCCTTTCACCACTTTCAATGAACAAGACGAAGAGGCTACGATTAGAAGATTCTTTGAGCATATACAAACAGCAAAGCCGACTGTCATGGCCACCTTCAACGGCGATGCTTTTGATTTCCCTTTTCTACAAGCCCGGGCGGAAGCGCATGGTATCGACATGTTTCTAGAGATTGGATTTGCCAAGGATTCAGAGAATGAATTCAAGAGCAGAAACTGCATTCACATGGACTGCTTTCGCTGGGTCAAACGTGATTCTTATCTCCCACAAGGTAGCCAAGGCTTGAAGGCAGTGACGACGGCCAAGCTAGGGTACAATCCGATTGAACTGGACCCGGAATTGATGACTCCGTAAGTACTCCCTTCTGCTTTAGCCCACTAGCTTACCAGTTCATAGCTATGCTGTCGAGCGACCACAAGATCTAGCTCAATACTCCGTTTCCGATGCCGTTGCGACATATTACTTGTACATGAAATATGTGCATCCGTTCATCTTCTCGCTTTGCAACATTATTCCTCTAAATCCTGATGAAGTGTTACGAAAGGGCAGTGGCACTCTTTGTGAAACGTTGCTGATGGTGAGTACTCCGCGGCCCACAAGGCTATCTTTCTAACTTTTCCTAGGTTGAAGCATACAATGCTCATATTATCATGCCCAACAGACACGAGGATGACTTCGGCAATATGTTCGAGGGGCATTTACTTGCATCCGAAACATATGTAGGAGGTCATGTGGAAGCTTTAGAGGCGGGCGTATTCCGGAGTGACATTCCAACTCATTTTAAACTCGTTCCCGAGACCGTGCAAAAGGTGTTGTAGCTTCTCTCAATCTTATTATGGTGCTTATCTCTTTTCGTAGTTGATCGACGATTTGGATCGTGCCTTGGTATTCTGTATCGAGACAGAATCAAACTTAGACAAAGCAAAAGTGACCAATTTTGATGAAATCAAGGGCAAAATTCAAGGGATCCTTGAAGAAATGCGCGATAATCCCGTCCGAACGGACAACCCACTCATATACCATCTGGATGTGGCGGCAATGTACCCAAATATCATGTTGTCAAATCGCCTCCAACCGGACTCCATGATTGACGAATCTGTCTGCGCGGTGTGTGATTACAATCATGACGATAAGCAGTGCGCCAGAAAGCTCGAGTGGGCATGGCGAGGAGAGTTCTTCCCAGCACAAAGGGATGAACTGAACATGGTGAAACATGCTCTTCACCAAGAAACCTTTCCTCCCAAGTATAAGGATGGCCCACGAAGGAAGTTTACGGATTTACCGGCCGCAGAGCAGACTGCCATAATTCACAAGCGCCTGGGTGACTATTCGCGCAAGGTGTACAAGAAGACCAAAGACACCCGAATAGTCACACGGGAATCTATCGTTTGCCAGCGAGAAAACCCGTTTTACATCGACACAGTCCGCAGCTTTAGAGATCGGCGCTACGAGTACAAGGGTCTACACAAGACCTGGAAGAAAAACCTCGACAAAGCCCTTGGAAGCGGCGAACTAGCGGAAATTGAGGAAGCGAAGAAGATGATTGTCCTATATGACTCCCTACAACTTGCCCACAAGTGCATTCTCAACTCCTTCTACGGATACGTTATGCGAAAGGGCGCACGATGGCACTCTATGGAGATGGCCGGAATCACCTGTCTCACTGGCGCCAAAATCATTCAAATGGCCCGAAAGTTGGTTGACGATATTGGCCGACCCCTTGAACTGGATACCGATGGTATTTGGTGCATGCTTCCTGGCGTCTTCCCCGAAAACTTCACCTTCACTTTGGAAGGAGGGAAGAAACTCGGATTTTCCTATCCTTGCACGATGCTCAATCATCTTGTGCACGCCGGCTTCACAAATCATCAGTACCACACACTTGTAAATGGACGTTACGAAGTCAAGAGCGAAAACTCCATCTTTTTCGAACTCGACGGCCCGTACAAAGCCATGATCCTGCCTTCGTCCAAGGAAGAAGATAAGCTGCTAAAGAAGAGATACGCCGTCTTCAATGACGATGGATCATTAGCAGAGCTGAAAGGATTCGAAGTGAAGCGACGCGGAGAACTACAGCTCATCAAAATCTTCCAATCTCAAATCTTCGAAAAGTTTCTACTTGGCACCACCCTCGAAGAGTGCTACGCTGCTGTTGCCAAAGTGGCTGACCAGTGGCTCGACGTTCTCTTCAGCAAGGGAGCTACGCTTGACGATGCAGAGCTTGTAGATCTCATTGCAGAGAACCGCAGTATGTCAAAGACGCTACAAGAATACGGTTCGCAAAAGTCTACATCCATCAGCACTGCCAAGCGCCTGGCCGAGTTTCTTGGGGATCAGATGGTCAAGGACAAGGGACTCGCTTGCAAATTCATCATATCAGCAAAGCCGCATGGATCGCCTGTCACAGAGCGAGCGGTTCCAGTGGCAATATTTACCGCTGCGGAAAGCGTCAAGCGGCTATACCTCCGCAAGTGGTTGAAGGACAACAGCCTGACAAACTTTGATTTGCGGAGTATCCTAGACTGGGAATATTACATCGAGCGCTTTGGATCTGTCATCCAAAAATTGATCACCATTCCCGCAGCATTACAAAACGTCTCAAATCCCGTTCCTCGTATTCGACATCCCGATTGGTTGTTCCGCCGCGTTGCTGCAGTACACGACCGGTTCCAACAGCACAAAATGACCGATTTTTTCAAGCAAGCTGCGCCGGCCCAATCTAGGAAGCGAATCTCAGCAGCCAAGCACGACATCGACGATAGTCAAAGCGACAATGACGTCGTAGATATGGAAGACGTTGGTCAACCAGCCAAGGTTCCTAAGCCAAAGGTCGCGGTGGTAAAGCGGAAAGCCATTGATGGGGACATTGGTGGAAAGGCAAATCAAAAGCCACTCCCTGACCCTAATG